GGTGGTGGAGAAGATGCGCCGCGACCGCATCAACAGCAGCATCGAGCAGCTGAAACTGCTGCTGGAACAGGAGTTCGCGCGGCACCAGCCCAACTCCAAGCTGGAGAAGGCAGACATCCTGGAGATGGCCGTCAGCTACCTGAAGCACAGCAAAGGTGAGCCGCGGGCCCGCGCCCTGCGCCCCGCCGCGCCCCTGTGCCCCGTGCCCGGCTCAAGCCGCCTTGTCTCCCCATTGAATCCCTGCAGCCTTCGCCGCGGCCGCGGGCCCCAAGAGCCTACACCAGGACTACAGCGAGGGCTACTCGTGGTGCCTGCAGGAGGCCGTGCAGTTCCTGACGCTGCACGCCGCCAGCGACACGCAGATGAAACTGCTCTACCACTTCCAGCGGCCCTCGGCCGGGTCCACGGCGCCTGCTAAAGAGCCCCAGGCGTCCAGCGCCGTCGCCCCGCCCGTGCGCTCCTCGGTCAAGGCAGCGGCCACCGCCGCCGCCGCGCGCCAACCCGCATGCGGCCTCTGGCGGCCCTGGTGACCGGGCGACTGCGGGGCCGCCCGGTCTAGGACCAGAGGGCGAGCCGTTCCTCTAGAGTGTAGGGAAGACCTTCCCAGCCGCAGTCCGGCCCCCGGATGGAACGCACCCTTCTCCGGAAGGCACGCACCCTTCTCCGGAAGGCTCCCTCCCCAGGCTGGCAGGCCAGCAGGAGGGTCATTCTCAAGAGAATGTGTGCCATGTCCTTGTCATTTTAGGACAATCAGGGCCCATTTTCTGCCAAGTGTCTGACCCCAAGGGGTTGTTCTGTGTTTGCATTTCAGCAAGTGACTTCTGGGAAGTTCCCATTTGCGGGGTTCTATGATATTTGTAGGGTCAGGGGCTGGGCCTGCCGAAGCCCCATCCTGTAGAGGACTTTCTTCAGGGCCTGTTGCTGCTGGGCAGGGCCCCTGCAGGCAGGCCGTGCCGTGGGCACGCTTGCCTTTTGTGAAGGCGGAACTCCAGGTGTATCCTCATAGGAAGTACTCAGCCTGCTTGGGCGCCTGGACCACGATGTGGTGGTTCTAAAGTCCACATGGCTTGGATGTCTGGTGAAGGCTCATAGTGGGCTGTTTGGGGAGAGGGGTCTCCACTATGATCCTTAAAGGATTCCTTTGTGTGGGTGGGTGCACCGCAGGATGATTTTGTACTTAGAATTTAAACTCTTCCTCATGTGAGAGCCCATGGACTGCTCTGAAAGCTTCTAATAAAATCTATCATTCTTCACTGTCTGTGCCTCGCATATGTCTTTGCCATCCACGGGGGCAGGTCTTCAGCGGTGAATGGGAGTGGCACTACTGTCATATGCAACCACAGCGGGGAGGAGCACTTGCCAGTGGGCTTCTGAACACAGGAAAAAGGGCTGGGTCCTGGCTGAGCGAAGGAGGGAGAGAGGGAGGAGGGGTGCAGGGAAGGGAGGAGAGGTAGAGAGGCAGGGGAGGGGCAGGCCAGAGAGACTGGGACCTGCAGAACTGTTGACTCAATGTTTCTGCCCCAGTCTTTCGCTGGCTCCCTGCAGGGTGGGGTTTAGGGGCAAAGAGGGCTCTGTCCACAGACAGAAAACTAGGACCACAGTAGACCTCTTGCTGCAGCAAAAGGGGCTTGGCTAGTCCACAGGTGATTCCCTGTGAACCAGCTGACTGCAGAACCATGCAGTGCTAGCCAGGAACCTACCAGGGGCAATCCTCTGCCTCAGAAGGGCACCTATTTTTAGGCAGGCCACCACATGTTGTTGTGAGTCTGCAAGAACCTAGAACCAAAAGCCACCAGTCTAGGAAGGAGCAACACCTCCACATATTTTCTGAATGACAAGTCAGATGTGGGCCCTGCCCTTGCCCTTCCCACTGACCACTTCTACCCCTCTCCACCTTCCACTCCTACCCACTCTGGAGGGAATATCTAATGGGGCACCTCCCAGGCTAGTTCAGTGCCTCTCAGGGTCCCTGCCCAATCTGTGGCTGTGGTGAGCAGAGGATGGGAGGTCCCTATTCCTTCTGGGTGTTTAATGAATGTGCAGCTGTACATGAAGGTAGGAGAAAAGGCCACCACCCTGTGGAGTCCTCCAGAATGCATGCCTGGGTCCCACCGTCACCAGAGGCAAGTGAAGCCACCTCAGGCCCGCTCTGTCTGCCTCCAAACACTAGGGCCTCTGAGTAACACCCTTCTCTGAGGTGCCCCCAGTGACTCACCCTGAAGCCCTGCCTCCACAGGTACCCCTGTTCCATTTGGGCTGTTTCCTCAGCTTGTTCCTTCCAGAACCCACCTTGCCAGAAGGTGCCCTCCTCTGGGTAGCCTCCCTGTTCCCTGAAGATTGCCATCTAAGAGTATGCCATCCCCAGGTGGGAATGCATAAGCCACTCTGGCAGACGGCTCCTTGATGTCAGGGTCAACTCTCCCAGTTCATGTGGGACTTTAGCCCTTAAGATCCCACATTCTGGGGAACTGGATGCAGGGGTGGGGCACCCTAGCAAGGAGACGTTCACGGACCTGTGGACCCGTTCACTGTGAACACCTGCAGGGCCAAGCTCACACAGGCAAGCACCAGATCCAGGTGGCCTCTTGGAAGTGGTCTCAGCGGGCTTACAACACTGGAGATAACATCTGGCCATCTTGAGGAAAGAAAAAGAACATTCCAGGTGTTCTGTAGATGCTCCACCTCTGGAGGACAATGGCCCACCCCTCTGCAGACCGCACCGGCCTCTCAGACCCTGGCCCAGGCAGGACTGGCCCCTGCTGGCCCTCCGGCCCAGGCAGGCGGGGCGTGGCCTGGACCTCATTAGCATAATCTATGCGCGGGGGCGTTTAGCAGTCAAATATATGCGCATATATCTCCATGGCTGATGAGGCTGGCCGGGCACTTTCAAAATGGCGGAGTGCGGAGCGAGCGGCGGCGGGAGCAGCGGGGACAGCCTGGACAAGAGCATTACGCTGCCCCCCGACGAGATCTTCCGCAACCTGGAGAACGCCAAGCGCTTCGCCATCGATATCGGTAGCGGCGGGCC